GTCGCGTAAACTATACGCGCATACATAGACACGCATAAGACACGTGACGTCACCGACGTCATCGTCAGGACGACGTCGCGTAAACTATACGCGCATACATAGACACGCATAAGACACGTGACGTCACCGACGTCATCGTCAGGACGACGTCGCGTAAACTATACGCGCATACATAGACACGCATAAGACACGTGACGTCACCGACGTCATCGTCAGGACGACGTCGCGTAAACTATACGCGCATACATAGACACGCATAAGACACGTGACGTCACCGACGTCATCGTCAGGACGACGTCGCGTAACCAATACGCGCATACATAGACACGCATTAGTCACGTGACGTCGTAGACGTACTAGGTAATTTTCGAAAAAAAAATCAAAATCACAAATCTGATGCGATATGCATCGGTGCTGCTCGTAAGAGAACTAGCGGCCCTAATGTGATAAAATATGTGAAAAAAAGAAGAGGTTCTCTGTAGACGAATTCTAATTTTTAAAACCATTCTATACTAAAAATGTTTCCTAATATTTATATGCCAGAATCGTAGAAATCGTACGCTATTTCATCCTACCAGTTGCTAAGCTGAGTGTTGTGTCAAATCAATGAAAACACGCATATGTATCGTGTACACGCGCGTGTTCGTCGTGTATATGTCACGTACACGGAAGCGTGTACGGCCTATACATAGCGTATACACGCACGCGTGTATCGTACATGCATGACGAACAGACGCGCCTACGTCTGCGATACGTCTACCCGACCGACGAAGAAAAACATATTTCGTACAAAACACGCGCACGTACCTGTCAAAGGCGACGTTGAGACTTTTCATGCGCTTGCGTTCGCGCGCGTTCGCCGCCAGCCGTCGTCTGCGGTGCGTGGCCGAGCCTGCACCTGCCGATGCTGCCCCGTACTCCCCCCACTCCGCCCCGCCAGCCTGCAGCAGCCGCAGCCTGTGCTTCCAGTGCGTGGGTCGAATCGACGCTCTCTGCTGCTGCTGCTGGTGCTGGTGGTGGTGCTGTTGTTGGTGCTGTTGTTGGTGATACTTGTGCTGCTGTTTTTGTTGTTCCTGCTGATGATTATGTTTCTGCCGCTGCTGATGCTGCAGATGATGATGATGTTCTTGCTGCTGTTTATGTTGTTGTTGCTGCTGTTGTTTTTGCTGCTGCTGCTGATTATGGTGATGATGATGTTCTTGCTGCTTCTGCTGCTGCTGCTGTTGTTGTTGCTGCTGTTGCCCAGACGCGGACGGCGGCGGGCTGTGTCCGTCACCGGTCAGTACGGACGGTGTATCGCCGTGGATGTCCTCTTGAGCGTTCGTCAGCTGTGCGGTGACGTCACCGTTGCTGGGAATCGGACGACCTCTTGGCGCGGTGGCTGGCTGAGATTTCACGCGCTGGTGTGGGTGGACAGTGGCCGTGGGCGTCGATTCCGGCTTCCTCGTGTGCGTGCGTGCACGAGCTTGGGCGGTGACAATCGTCAACGGCGTCGTCGTCATCGTCGACGGCGTAGTTATAATGGTCATTGGTGTTGTCGTCTTCGTCATCGGCGTCGCCGCCACCGCTGCGATTTCCGATTTTCGCGTGTAGCCGCTCGTTCTCCGATCATGGCGGGGACAACTAGTCTTGCTTTCCTCCATCGTCGCGTCTTGCTATAGATGGCAGCATCTGTCTTCGTCTGCGCTTGCAATAGTTTCTGAATTTTAGTGATAGTTCCAACTTTCAGTGATGAATCCAGCTTTTAGCGATCGATCCAACTTTAAGCGATCATTCCAACTTTTAGTGATTGTTCCAACTTTTAGCGATCGATCGAACTTTTAGCGCTCGTTCCAACTTTAAGCAGTCGCTCCAACTTTTAGCAATCGTTCCAACTTTAACTGATCGATCCAGCTTATAGCAGAAATGTTCGTATCTGATGAAGCAATCGTTGACGAACGGTTAATCGTGCTGCGACACGCCGGGGCGTGTTGTTCCCTCGACCGCGAAAATATCTCGCAGTAATTGTCGTCCTTCCGCGTGTTTCGCCCGTGCGTGTGTGTGTGCGCCGTCACTGTGTATATAAAGCAGAGAACGTGGTAGTGGGATACGCCGTGGTTACTGTCCGCCACCAGCAGCAGCTTCCCCCTTTTATAGCTCTGGCGCGGTTGGCGACGTGATTTGTAGGGTTAGTGTAGTCGGGGAAGTTGAAGACAAAACATCTCTTTGTTGGCGGAATATTATCCCACAGGATCGTAATTGGATGTAATCGGCTATCTTGTCCCGCGTGCGCGCGACCGCCAGCCAATCAGCGAGCGTCTCTTCGTTTGCTCCCTGCAGGGGGCGTAGTGCGAGAGAGAGAGAGAGAGAGAGAGAGAGAGAGGCGGCGGCAGACATAAAAAGAAACAGAAAGAGAGAGAGACGATTATTTGGGTGAAATTACAATTATTTACGCTTTTGTTATGGCCTGCGTTTTATTGCTTTGTGTTTATCGTGCTATGTGAAAATTCAAGACATTCTATATCGCGTGTTATACGGCAACATATAAATAGGAGTAGTTGAATATCGAGTAATTCGATAATTATTTATTTCTAATACGATATATAATCTTGTTTTAGATTCAGGTATGTTCTATCGCTTATTACACACCAACATAGAATATATTATCACGGTTCCATTCACCATTGCTATTTCATACGGTCTCTCTCATGTTATAAACCATCATATCATATATAATCGCATTTTCCATTCTATCATATTAGTTAGTGTTATTTACGTACACATATCACACGTCACATTTACAATTTTGTCATAATATTGATTGCACATTTTCATTCGTCACAAAACTTATTTTCAAGTCTTAAGTTTTATCTCTGAGTTGACGAGTAGTTTTATATGTATTAACTTGTATAGCAGTAATTGGTGCTGGATACAGGCCGTATATTGCCAAAACGTATAAAATTTAATAAACTTGTCCTAGTGCTATTCCTACAGCTGTTACATTGTTGCTATCAGGAAATGACCCGCTCTTATAGGGAACGAATACGGATCCGGATACGGATCCGGACGGACGCGATAGCGGAAAGCGAACGTAAACAATCGCTACAAATCTATATACAGTTTTTATTTATGTATGTATAACACACGAGTCGAATCACGTGATCAAAATGTAGAAAACTATATACTGCATGATCGAACGTGAAGCAAAAGCGATCAAATACGCAAAAAACAAATCTACCGACATTTACTAGATATAGGGACAGACCGGTAGATAGACAAATAAATACATTAAATAATCATAATATACAAAATAATAGGCCATGGGCCAAATCAAAGGCCATGTGCAAGTTGTAAATAAATATATATGGCGGTATGTACAGTAAATACTAAAATACGTTTGATCGAACACGAAATGTACTAAAATCGACGACGAAATAGGTTATCATATTAAACTAAAATACGAGCACCGTTTCAGTTTGATTTCCACGTTAACTAATTATTTAATCAATCAATTATATTAATTATAATTAGTTAATTATCATCAACTTGTTATATCAAGGCGAGATTCGTGTTACAGTAATTGATCCATCAGGGCTGAGATGTAGGTCTGAGCCATCTGTAGCGTCTCATACTTGGAGAACTGTCGGTCGTTCCCCATGGCCGGCACGACGTCGCGTAACCTATACACACAACATACATAGACACGCATAAGACACGTGACGTCACCGACGTCATCGTCAGGACGACGTCGCGTAAACTATACGCGCATACATAGACACGCATAAGATCTCCCTAGACTCGTTAGTGGAGTAGGCGAGGTACGGTCCGGCATATTAGATAGTACCAGGGTACGTTCCGGTATACCGGACCGTACCCAGGGTACTTTCCGGCACTTTATGTAAAAATTATATTTTGGATATTTCTCAGTCACCACAAAGAGTGAGGAAGCAAAATTTTTGGCACAAGTTAAGCGTGATTTTTTATGATTTTTCGTAAGTTTTACAATTACTGAGAAAAATGAAGAAAAAACTGCTAACAAATCAAGTAGGCCTACGTTGTATTAGAATTGAATATTTTTGCGAATAAAGAGGCATAACTCATAGAATACGGCACTTAATAACAATCCCTGACGCGCTTTTTTACAGCAATATATGTTACCATTAAAACGAGTGTAAAATTTAATTATTCCGAGTTGTAATCACAATTAAGAAATACCCATTTATACATTGGCTACTGTGGCAGAAATCGAAACGGAGAAATCAGCATTTTCCTATTTTTCACAATGGTCGACCGCCTGTGTGCAAAATAGGTGAGCGTATGTGAAACATCAAATGTTAGTACTTACTGTGACATATCCGGGACTAACTGAAACCACTAAGTTGGTAAAATGTTCCACGCATCTTGAGAAATTGTGACAAATTACGAGGTTACCATGCAAAACGCGCTAACACCGCCCACTGTCTGACGTCACTAAGCTATATGTCAACAAACGCTCGCTTTAATCTAAGGTATGTAGAGAGATGAAAGAACTATTTTGGGCTGTGTGAGATAGTTCACCTATCACTGGCAGATGACAGCTGTAGAAGGGTTGATGTTGATGGATACTGGCTCAGTGAATATCGTGAAAATGCTGGTTGTATCGTGTCTCTGATGTCATCAGTGACGTCAGCCGCGGCTCACTACACGTGTACGCGGGCAATCAAAACGCTCTGAACGTTCACATGTATCGTTATATGGAGAAATGAGCATGTGCATGCAGAGGTGGCACATAGTGTTAGCCATCGAATAAAGTTGAAAATGAAAAATCTGTAAAATTTTGACTAAAACCTTGAGAGTAACCTTTTAAGTATATAGTGTTATGTTCGCTCGGCCTATCTAGTATATTATTTTTACGGTCCTGACTCTAGATCTACTCGATTGCTTCTTTCAGTAAGATGAGAGCCAAGTTCTGCGACATGTTCTGCTGTCCGACGCACTACTTCAACATGATATCGGAGGTGTGCGAGCAGAAAGCGCCGCACGAGCCCGTGATGGGTGGTCGCGTCCTTAACGATGTGACGTCACTGAGAGCAATAGGAGGGCGCCCAGGGCGCCGTGGACGGCGGGGACGCCGCCGCGGTTGATTCTCTCTGCGGCGGAGAAGCGGGGAAAACTGTGTAGGGTCTATGGGATGAGGTGTACCTGCTGCTGGTGTAACATCGGGGTGTGTGACGATAGCGAGAGAAAGAAAGAGTAGGGGGAGAGGGGAACAGAAAGCGAGCGAGACAGAGAAAGAGAGGAAGTAATTGAGAGAGACAGAGAGAAATGGAGAGGAAGGAAGCTAGAGAGAGAAAAAACACGAAATAAGAAAGAAAGAAAGAAAGAGAGCGGGAGAGAGAGAGAGGGCAGACACAAAGAGAAACAGAGAGAGAGAGAGATGTAGCAGACGGAGAAGTAGAGAGAAGAGAGAGGAGAGAGAGCGGATAGAGAGAGGCGGAGAGAGAAGAGAGAGAGAGAGAGAGGCGAGAGAGAGAGGCGGGAGCGGCAGACATAAAGAAGAAACACAGAGTAGAGAGGACGATTCTTTGGTGAAATTAACAATTATTGTTACGCTTTTGTTAGTGGCTGTCGTTTGTTAATTTGCTTTGGGTTATCTGCTTATGTGCAAATCAATGACATTTTATAGTGCGCGTGGTTATATCCGGCAACATATAAATAGGGAGTGAGGTTGAAATATCGAGTAATTCGATAATTATTTATTTCTAATGACGATATATAATCTGTCTTTTAGATTCAGGTATGTTCTATGCTTATTACACGACATCACTAGAATATAATTATCATACGGTCCCCATTCACTGGCATTGGCTTATTTCAAACGGTCTCTCTCATGTAATAAACGCACCATATCATATATAGATCGCATTTTCCATTCTAATCATAGGTAGTTGTGTTACTACGTACACAGTATCACACGTCACGTTTGCAATTTTGTCATAATATTGATTGCAGTCATTTTCATTCGTCAGCAAAAACTTATTTGCCAAGTTTAAGTTTTTTATCTCCGATTTGACGAGTAATTTTACTATGTATTAACTTGTTATAGGCAGTTTAAGTTTGTGTGCTGGATCAGGCCGTATATTGCAAACCGATAAATTTCAGATTAAACCTTGTTCCTACCGTGCGATTCCGACCATGCTTGTTACATTTGTTGCTCATTCAGAAATGACGCCGGCTCTTGAGTTAGGAACTGGATACGATCCGGATACGGATCCGGACGGTGACGCGATAGCGGAAAGCGAGACAGAGAACAATTCCGCGTACGAAAGTCTATAGTACAGTGTTTTTATTTATGTATGTTAGTAGACACACGGAGTTCGAATCACCGTGACTCAAAATGTAGAGAAATGCTATATACTGCATGATGCGAACGGAAGCAAAAGCGATCAATACGCACAAACAAATTCGTACCGACATTACTAGATATAGGAGCAGGACCGGTAGATAGACAATATAATATCAGTTAAATATCATATGATACAAAGATAATAGGCCAGTCGGGCCAAAATCTAATAGCCATGTGGCAAGTGTAAATTATATTATATATTGGGCGGTGAATGTAGCGAGTAAATACT